CCATGCTTGGCTAATTTTCATATTTTTAGTAGAGACGGGGTTTCACCATGTTGACCAGGCTGGTCTCAAACTCCTGACCTCAGGTGATCCGCCCGCCTCAGCCTTCCAAAGTCCTGGGATTACAGGCATGAGCCACCGTGCCCGGCCTGATGTTTTAAATTTTTAAGCAACTACTCTCCAGCAGGAAAAATAATACAGAAGTACAGAAGGGAAGCAGAAACCCTCCCCTCTTCCTTCTCCCACCCTAAGCCCCAGGGCACTCTCTTGCCACAGGCTTCATGTTAATACAGCACTAAAGTCATCATTTGTTTATTTCCTGTGATAAAAATTACACTTGAATCCCAAGTTGAAATTATTAACAATTAAAAGGTGAGGCAGAATCAAAGAAAAAAAAATCCATAGAATGAAAAACTTAGAATGAACTTGTTGTGGATTAAATCATGTTCCCCAAAAGATATGCTGAAGACGTAACTCCGGTACCTGTGAACTTGACCTTACTCAGAAAGTGGGTCTATGCAGACGTGATCAAGTAAAGATGAGGTCAGGTTAGAGGAGGGCAGGCCCTAATCTAATAACGGTCTCCTTATAAGAGAGGAATCCGGACACAGAAACTTACAGGGAGGGGAGAGATTGGAGTGATGCGGCCAAGGGCCAAAAAATGCCAGCAGCCATCAGACACTAAGAGGGAAGGAAGGATCCTCCCCGAGAGCCGCCAGAGGGACAGTGTTTCTGCTGACACCTTGCTTTTTGAACTCTGGCCTGCAGAATTGTGAGAACAAGTTTCTATAGTTTTGAGACCAGGATATTAATGCAGAAATTAGAAGATTATCCACAGCTGAGGAAAGGGAAGCTGAGGGAGGTTACACACTTGCCCATGGTTACAGGTGTGACCCTACAGTGTTCAGGACCTGTAATCAGGCCAGGATGCTTCTTGTCAAACCACATCATCTCCAGAAGCATGAAAATGGTTCTTCTTAAATGTTATTATAACTAAAACACTGCACCTAAGGAGGAACCGCAGTGAAGTGCAAAGACTTTGAGCTAGGCAGACCCAGATTGACAGCTCCGCCCTGCTTTGCCTTCACTAGTGTGGCCCTGGACAAATTATTCTGCCTCTCCAAGCCTCGGTTACCCCGTCTGAAAATTAAGTCACATTATTGTGCACATTTTCCAGGATGTTGCAAGGATGAAACGAGGTGAGCCACGCAAAGGGCTTCACATGCCCTTTGAATGCCCAACACTCCATCAGCAAGAAATTAAGGTCAGCTCTTGATCTTATAAACTATTTCTCGGACTCCTGTCCCTCCTTATTGTTTCAAGCTGATTTCTTGGCTCATCTTTCCCAGTCCTCTGCAATACAGTCTTTGATGAATTCTTTCTCTAAAGCCCAGGAGCTGCCACTTCTCACTCGAAGGAGCTAGCGGCAAACTGGCTTTGACTTTCTTATTCTTTCATCCTCAGTAATTGTTTTTTCTCATTGTCTTTAATAGTTTACCATTTCAGGTGGCGCCATCAGAGTTCTTCTTGCTGGGATTACCTTCTTGTTTTCAGCCTCAACTACAGTCAGCTTCATTTGGGGAGCCTGGATGGCTTCTTCTGAAGAACACAAACTCTTATTGCCATATGCTCAATCCATATTTTCAATGCAAGTCTTCCAAATAATTGTGTACGACGAGGCTGATAATCAAGTGAGCGCACCATGATTAAAATAAGATTCGTCAAAATAATTAGGTGGCCCTTTACATTCAAGTGTTCAGGTATGAGAACAGTTTTGCTGTCTGCTTTACCCATCTTAGTGGAGATGACAGAAAATCTTTCAGAAAAAAAAATCCCAAAGGCTTTTTTTGAAGCTACTACAAGGTATATGGCTGCACACCTTTTCCTGTCTTCAGCTGCAGTTATTGTGTTCGCATGAAAGTCTCTTTTTTAATAATGGAAATTGCTGTAATTATAATCACTTTAGAATAGTGTTATTATTATTAATAAGACCAAATTGCATGGTTCAAGCAGATGCTGGTTCAAAGAACTGTTCGAAAGTTCTACAGTTCGGAAGAACCCACATAATGGGATCAGCCACAAACCTGGCAGTCATCTCCATGCCAACGTGGCCCTTCCTGCCAGCACCCGGGCCTTGCCTTGCAGCTCTCATGCGGGCTTCTGGGCACATGCCTGTGACTCCTCACAGAGTCACTGGGCAAAGAATGGACCTCCAGTTACTGATTAAAGCCTTCTGGGAACAAGCACACTTCCAACAGTTGACTTTCCCATAGAAGAGGGGAAGCTGGAGGGCTCTGGTTCCTGTTGAACCTCTCCTCTCAAGGCCTCTCCCACGCACACCTGGATCCAGCCCTTCATTCTGTTGCTCATTCAGCAGTACTGAAGGAAGGAGGAGATGGGGGAACAGCAGGCAGTTCGAGGGTCCAGTTGCAGTCACACATTAAGTTCCTAACACCTTGGGGTGTAAGTTCAGGGCTTTCTGGCTGGAAAGGGTAGTTTGAGGCCAAAACCAAAGACATCAGGAGGCATGAAGGGAAGGAAGTCATTATCTGCCTGGTGGTTCAGAACTTGGCTTCTGAAGTTCAGTTCCCTGGCTTCCATTTTTGGCCCTCCCTCTTTCTTGTCCTGTTGCCCTGGAAAGTTGTTCAGTCTCTCCAAGCTTCAGTTTTCCCATCCCCAAATGCATATAAGAACCCCAAGGGGTGGTGGGTGGTGGGTGGGGATTCTGGGGAAAGCACACCTACAGCTTGTCCCGTACCGAGCTTTCAGACATTGTCTATGACTATTACTTAATTCTTGAAAATTTCTTGGTTATTTATTGCTTGAATTTACAATTCCATTTTTCTCTCCACCTAAGCAATTTTTATTTTAGGCTTCAGAGAATCAGCAGAGAATAAATGCATGACTCCTGGCCATTAATAGAGCAGGAAAGCTCACTCCAGGTTCAGAAGTCACCGCACTGCTGCCCCCTCTAGCTGGCTGCTGACACCCTGCTGGTGGTCAGAGACATTTCAGGGCAACACAGGCTGGCACTGAATCCTAATGCAGTAGTCAGTAAAGCCTGAGTTTACCGTAGGCATTTGGAAAGATTTTGCTATAAAGCAGCTTATCGCTAAATCAAGCCAGGAGGGAGGTACAGGATATTTCATTCCCCATCACTTGTAAAAATTAAATCTGTCTCTGTAGAAGCAGCCCTCCCTGGAAACATGCTAATGGTTGAGAAGTAATCTTGAACCAACTACTGCCTGGGCTATAGGGAAGACAAGAGCCTAGGTACTCAATACATTTCTGTTAATTAAATTAATTAAACCTCATCATTTTAAAGTAAAGGTCACTGAATTAATTAACAGGCAAACTATTATTTATAAAAGCTTTTTTATTTTTTTGATTGCCAAAGTTAAGTATTTTTTAGTCGTTCTTCAGGCTTCTTCCTTTCCCCTTTCCTCCGGAGGGAGGGTTTCAGGCCTTCTTTTATTATAGCCCTCAGACCACCCAAATTTACTTTTAGTAGAGATAATTCCCTTGCATCAGAGCACACATCTCAAACGGGGAGTCTTTCAAGGCCTGTTCCAAAAGATTCTCTGTAGGTCACAGAAGAGGTTCTTCCTCAATAGCTTGTGATAGTTACAAGGTTCTCAGCACCAGGCACGTGTTCCCACGTGTTGGCTGCACCAAGACCACATCTTAAGGGCCAAGTTAAGCTCCCTCAGCTGATGAGGATTCCCTTTCCCTCCCTCTAACCATCCACTCCTGGAGATGGCAAAGATCACTCACGTGGCTTCCCATGACTTAGATGAAAGGCAACTCGAATCAAAGTTTGAATACGCTTTTGAAGGTTTTTTTTTCCCCCTAAACTAATTAAACAACTACAGAAGTTATTCGGCAGTTTCCTTTTTTAAAAGAATTAGCATGGCATGTCTTTCCTCTTAAAGTCTTGAATAATTTAATGAGAATTATACAAAAGTCATGAGTATGTTCTATTTATGGCGGAATCATAGCTGAATTAAAACCCAAATGACAATGTTAAAAATAAAAATAAAGTATCCTCAAATAGTGCATTCAATTGAGCAAAGGACTTCAAATCCCACTTGGAATAGATAGTTTGAAAGTAGGAGGGGAGCAGAGCAATTGGGACTTTTTTTTTCTTTCTTTTTCTTTTTTTGATTACTGTGCTTGGGAACATTTGTTTCTTGCTACAAAAAGTGTTAGTAAATGAACATCAGAGTAAGAGAAAAAGAAAGCTGTTGTAATCGGGATACCACTTGGTCCCCGGACCTCACTCAGCCCATATTTTTTTCCGGTAGCTGGACTACATTTCACACTCTCCGCACACCCGCGTGTGCGTGCATCGCTCCGTGCAGAGGGGCAGGGCCGCCGGATAAGCGAGGACACAGCTGACAAACCAACTCGGAGAAAGGAAAGCGGGCGCAGGGGAGACGCTGCTCCTTCCTCAGAGCAGCAAGCAAGCCACTCCTGAACCGGCTTGCTTTTAGCTGAGCTCATGCATAAATCCTTTTTAAAGGGTACTGCGCCTTTGGAAGCCAGCCACCAGCCTCTTTAGCAATGAGACAGCATGGTGGGGGGCGGGGGGAGGGAGAGTATGAACACGAGGTGATTTTCCCCATAATAGCCCGTCGCCCAAGGCCCACCGTTCCGTCTCCCGCTGGAAGTAGGTGTCGCCCGCAAGAAGGAAATCACGTTATTGGAGGCGGCAAGTTCCAGGTCTCCTCTCCCGCCCAGCCCCGCGGAGGGGGAGCTCACAAGTTCTGAAACACTCGCGCACACCCCTCCGTGCGCCCCGAGCGGGGGCCGCCGTCCTCCACGACTCAAGAGCGAGCGCCCACGCTCCCCGGCCCACCCGAACCCCTCTGCGTTCCCCGCTCTTCTGTGCGGGGACAGCTGCTGCTTTGGGGGCGACGCTAAGCCGCGTGGAGGCGTCTCTGGACGGCCCCCTCCCCCCAACGAGCCCGAAAAGCCCGCGGCAGCAGCCGGGGGGGCCCTACCTTCTGCGGGGGGGTCCCGATCAGCATCTCCAGGTAGTAGCCGCGGCCAGAGTCCCCCTGCAGGTTGTCCACCATGGCCAAGAAGTTGGCGGCGCCCGCGGCGGACTCCAGGGCAGGCTCCAGGGCGAGCGCCAGGCC